AAGGGGTTAAGAACACAGACTTATTCATTAAACCAGAGTTTACTGTCCCTTTAAGTTAAAGCTATGTTAACCATTTTGATTGGATATAAAAACCATAAGAGTAGAGTGGAGACACTTTTTTGGAGAAAATGCTGCACCTGATCTCTTACGTGGTCATGTGAGCAAAAACCTGGCCATTGTTGCTAAAGGAGATGATCAAGCAATGAGAACTTTTCAGCCAAGATCGTGTGACCATATGCTTAGGCTTGGGGTTGCTTCTGTGGAATCCCAGGATACTATTGGGGAAAATACTTTCCAAGGAGGTGGAACCTTCGGTCTTGAATTCACTGTCTATTTTGCTCATTTATTAATAGTTCTATTATATAATACTTTTGAATGTTTTTTGATGTTTGGGACAACTAGCTTATGGAGGCTCCTATGGATTCCCTTGAAACCATTGTTTAAACACAGGCTGTCAAATTCTTTTGACTTTATTTTTTGATGGATTATGTTGTGGTCTTATTTGCGGTGGGGGTGCTTGTTTTTAAATGTAGCCAATATTTTTTTGAGTGCTATTACAAATTTTTTTTGAATAAAGAAATGTGTTTTACATATACAAATGGTTACATATAAGAGGTGTGACAATTTAATTCTGGATGGACTGTAAAAAAACAAAACAAAAAAAAAAAATGTTTGCTTAACTATACACTAGCAGCTATTTCACCTTGAAAGTAGTCCCGTTGTGAAGGATTGCCCTTTTCTAGATGGCCGTGTCACTGCTGGAAACATTCCTGGAATTCATTTTCTGGAAAGCTGTGCAGTATTTTTGTTGGGTATCATCACTGGATATCATCAAATCTTTGTCCTTTTAAAGCATTTTTTATTTGCAGCTAAAAAGTCACAGGGTGCTAAGTCAGGGGAATAAGTCAGTTGTTCAAGTTTTGAAATGGATTTTCGGGCCAGGAACTCACAAAGACATAACACTTCATGTTCAGGAGCATTGTCATGGTGGAGAAACCACTTGCTAGGCTAAAGTTCTGGTCTCTTCCTCCAAATGGATTCTCTGTTCACATTTGCATCCATCCTTCACGTTTTTGGCTGCCCGTGGGCATCTTACTGCCCCTCCTTAAACCGCCTGTGCCATTCAAAAACACATGTCTTCATGGAATGTTCACCATAAGTCAGGGGCGGACTGACAACTCATGGGGCCCCCGGGCAATAGGGGATCATGGGGCCCCTGTGTCCTTGCCCAAACTCAAAAAAGCCTATGAAAAAGGTACCAGGGGCATCTCATGGGGCCCCCTACTGACCCCGGGCCCTCGGGCAGTGCCCAAGTTTCCAAATGGTCAGTCCGCCCCTGCCATAAGTCTGTTGTAACAGAGCTAAAGTTTCACTCCCACTTTTTCCAGTTTTCATGCAAAATGTAATCCTCTGCTCCAGATTCCGGTCTCTCATTCTTCACCAACAGAGCAACGTACACATGTACAAAAAATGTCCACTGCCCCAATCTATAACTGGCCTTCACAGCAAGGAGCACATGGAAGGGTGACGCATGTCAAACAATAAAAGATAAAAATTCCCAGCTCAACTTCCTGATCAGCTTGCTAACAAACCAAATTGTTCTAACAGTATGTGTTAAACAGGGGTTTAGTTAGCACACATTTGCAAATACATGCGTAAGCTGCAGAGCCTCGTCACGGCACCCCGATATTCTGTAGTCCTAACTCTAAATTTTGTGAGCTTCCATAGTAGAAGCACATGTATAAATGGATAGACTGAGGACAGGTGAACCTGAGGGAGCCCACCCCTCCTTAGAGGTACAGGGGCACACTGGACACCCAGCATATAGCACAATGGCAGCCAGGGTTTCCAGTGCACCCTCTCACCAGCATATCAACAGTACAAAAAATGGCCACTGCCCCAATCTATAACTGGCCTTCACAGCAAGGAGCACATGGAAGGAATGTCAAATAAAAGAGAAAAACTCCCAGCTCAACTTACCGACCAGCTTGGGAACAAACCAAATTGTCTGATGCACATAGTCACATAGTTAGTCTGGCTGAATAAAGACAAAAGTCCATCCAGTTTAACCATTAAAAAAAAAAGTTGTAACCCTACACTCACAGTTGATCCAGAGGAAGGTAAAAAAAAACCAGCAAAGCAAGATCCAATTTGCTCCTGTAGGGGAAAAATTCCTTCCTGATCCCCCGAGAGGCAATCGGATATTCCCTGGATCAACTTTACCTATAAATGTTTTATCCAATTATATTCTGTGTATCCAAGAAAGAATCCAGGACTTTTTTGAAGCAATCCACTGAGCTGGCCAGAACCAACTCTTGAGGGAGTCAAGGGGCGGACTGACTATTTGGAAACTCGGGCACTGCCCCAGGGCCCAGGGTCAGTAGGGGGCCCCATGAGATGCCCCTGGTACCTTTTTCATAGGCTTTTTCGAGTTTGGGCAAGGACACAGGGGCCCCATGATCCCCTATTGCCCGGGGGCCCCATGAGTTGTCAGTCTGCCCCTGAGGGAGTCTATTCCACATTTTCACAGCTCTTACTGTGAAGAAACCTTTCCGTGTTTGGAGATTCAATTTCTTTTCCTGACGTGTCATTTCTTCAACTGGTCTGCAACCCAGGAGAATGCAAGTTGGAACACATCAGAACATGTTGGAGTGAGAATGGCTGTGTGACTCACCACCATAAGGATATGTTGTGGCCGATCTGGGAATTGTTACTGTATATATATATGATTTAGTACATTCAGGTCATGTGAGTCCATTAAAGTGGTTGCAAAGCCTTAAGGCAAGGATGTCAAACTGGCGGCCCTCCAGCTGTTGCGAAACTAAAAGTCCCATCATGCCTCTGTCTTTGGGAGTCATGCTTGTAACTGTCAATCTTGAAATGCCTCATGGGACTAGTTTGGCAACAGCTGGAGGGCCACCAGTTTGACACCCGTGCCTTAAGGTATTTTACCTTAATGCATTCTATGCATTAAGTTAAAACCTTCTGTAACTGTGACCCTTCCCCAGCCCCCCCTTATGTTTACATGAGCCACATCAAGATCCAGTGCTGTGCCTCACAGGGCGGATCGATAGCAGTGGGAGCCATTGGCTCCTGCTGCTGTCAATCAAATTATGTGATGGAATGGTAGTTGGGGTCTAGTTCTGCTCCCTGTATCTATGGACACAGGCAGCGAGGCTTGGGAGCTCACTTGCACGAGTGCCCCCCACCAGTAAGCAGCTTCTTATGGGGGGCACTAGCTGAAAAGGAGGGGCCAGGAGCACCAGCAGGGATTCAAGAAGAGGGGGATCAGGGCTTCCCTGTGCAATACCATTGCATAGAGCAGGTAAGTATGACATGTTTGTTATTTAAATGAAAAAAAAATCTTAAGCTTTTCAAGTACTTTCAGAAATTGCTGTTTTTCTTTCTTATGGGGGGCACTAGCTGAAAAGGAGGAGCCAGGAGCACCGGAGGGGTGCCAAAGAAGAGGGGGATCGGGGCTTCTCTGTGCAATACCATTTCACAGAGCAAGTGAGTATGGCCTATTTGTTATTTTAATAAAAAAAAAAAATCTTAAGCTTTACAATCACTTTCAGAAATTGTTGTTTTTCTTTCTAGTTGCTTGGAGCAACTTTTAAATATTTCACCCCTTTTGTTCCTATTTATCCTTTTCTATCAAGTCTGTTAACACGTCTTCAGGTCAGCAGAGCTTAGGTCCACATTTAAATTCAAAAACATATTTTTAGTGGAGATGAATAAAAATGTATTTATATGGCCTTCTCTTTTTTTCATGGCCCTCTAAGGCACCGTTGTCCATGCCAAGCTTACTTACACTTGCTTGTGAAGTGAATTTTAAAAATTGTTGGAAACTATACTTTTAATGCATACTAATAGAAGCTTGTTGCAATTAGAAAAGTTGGAAAATGAAATTTGACATGGGTAAAAAAATAAAATGATTTTCTGCATATGCATTATGACATCAAACAACAAAGACAATTCTCCAGCGTCTATGTCGGCTGCCTCCAGGCTGCTGCATGATGTGTCAACAACAACAGGAATGAAGAGGGGCAATTAATTGGCAGATTATTCATTATGTGAAAGAGAAACATATGAGCGAGCAATTAATTCAGAGTATCGCTATTCAAAATGGCATTCATTGACATCGATTGCAGCTAGTCCAAATCATCGAGGAAGGTGCCAGAGGGTTGAGCTGAGACAGTATAGCGGGCCACTTGACTTGAGTGGACAGATGCCCCGTGGCTATTGCTGTTTTCATGGTCCTGTCCGCGGTGCCAACATTTGTTGCTCATTCAGTTCATTTGGCCCTGTTTACAGGCTATCGACAGATCGGTCTTCTTCTGAGATTTTTTTTTTGTCCGCTAATAAAATAAATAAATATACATCACAGTTTGTCTATCAGTCGGCATATTCTGAATGAAGGTTGCTTTATGATGTTACACTGCTTGGCAGATAGCCCCTGCCTAGTGAATGATGCAAAAAAAAAAAAAAAGAGAGAGAGCTTCACAGAACACTTGTTAGGGAAAATGGCAATAAATCTGACATTTATGCACAGAGGAAACACAGTTTTCTATACTTTCCATTTTTTTAAAGGAACACTCTTTTTTTTCCCTATCCATCTTTATTAGCTCTTACAGAAACTATATGGATCAGGAGCCAGGAAGAATGGTCGCCAGAGCCAGGGTCAGGAGCCAGGAAGAATCGTCACCAGAGTCGGAATCAGGAGCCAGGAAGAATGGTCGCCAGAGCCAGGGTCAGAAGCCAGGAGGAGTCTTAGCCAAAGCCGAGTCATGGGGCCCCTGTGTCCTTGCCCAAACTCAAAAAAGCCTATGAAAAAGGTACCAGGGGCATCTCATGGGGCCTCCTACTGACCCCGGGCCCTCGGGCAGTGCCCGAGTTTCCAAATGGTCAGTCCGCCCCTGTGTACAACAGACATGTTGCGGTTCGTTTCATTTCGAATCAAAATTTTCCGATATTCGGAGATTTGGATGTATTCGAATTACAATAGTAACAAATTTAAACGAATCTGAAATAACAAACCAAATTTGTCCGAAATTCAAATCGATTCTAATTTGAAAATACATTAGAAAACAAATTCAAATTCAAAAACCAATTTGAATTTGAAAACAAATTTTGTAAACCAATTGGAACTTGAAAACAAGAATAGAATAAAATAAAAACAGAAAATAAAAAAACAGAAAATAAAAGAATTGAGGAAAAAAGAACAGAATAGAAAATAAAAGAATAGAACAGAATAAAATGTTTTGACCAGATTTATATTGTTACTATATTATGTGTTACTGTACACAAAAAATTGCTTCATGCCTTAAATTAATTATGAAAAACAATTGTAATGTGCTGACATATTAAAAAAGGAACGTTTTATTTATGTATTTCTTTTTAAACAGTTATATTAATATATGATATTTATAGCTTTTCTTGTTTAACCCTTTGAGGACCGTAAGATTTTGGAACGCCAAAAGAATCAATTTTTTTGTTTTTTAAAGTTCGTACACTTCAGTGGCTGTAACTAAGAAATAATTGACAAAAAGCTAGATCCATTTGTTGTTTGTTGATAAGAACTAATATTTTGACTCAAACCAAAAAAAAAAAGAGTTTTAAGTTCTTAATCAGATGATACACGCAATTAAAAACATGGGACGTCCCTTGGTCCTCAAAGGGTTAAAAAAAAAAGAATAAAAAAATTTAAAAAATGCTTTAGGCCACATTCATATAGTTGCTTCAGTATGTGTTATTGTACAGAAAAAATTGTTTCAGGCCTTAAAGTAATTTTAACAAACAATTGTAATGTACCTACACATTAAAACAAGGAACATTTTATTTGTGTATTACTTTTTGAACAGTTATATTAATATATGACATTTATAGCTTTTCTGATTAAAAAAAGAATCAAAAAAATAAAAAAAATGTTTTACGCCACATTTATATTGTTGCTTTAGTATTTGTTAGTGTACACAAAAATTGTGTCAGGCTTTAAAGTAATTTCAACAAACAATTGTAATGTACCTACACATTAAAACAAGGAACATTTTATTTATGTATTACTTTTTTAACAGTTTTATTAATATATGACATTTATAGCTTTTATTATTAAAAAAGAATACAAAATAATAACAAACTTAAAAAATGTTTAGGCCACTTTTATATAGTTGCTTCAGTATGTGTTATTGTACAGAAAAATTGTGTCAGGCCTTAAAGTAATTTCAACAAACATTTTTAATGTATCTACACATTAAAAAAAAAATATTTTATTAAAATATTACTTTTTTTTCCAAATGTAATTGTATTAACATAAGACAGTATCTACTACAGACAGTATATAAAATTCAGATACAAAGGCAGGGTTCAGTCCAATGACTGGATACAAAAACCATCCAAGAACAGTCAGCTCAAATATTCACATTCAGAAGACCAAAACTGGAAAGAAAGGAAAACAATAAAGTGCATTGAAGGAAGACATCACTGAAGAGGATCAGCATGCGCACCCTGGGATAACGCAGCCCTGCATCCATGATATTTCTAAACGCAACACCCCAATGGGGAGAAAGAATACTGCCCTAACTAGTTGTTACCACATAAAACCAAGTGACAAGATATAAAAGGCCGAGCAAGAAAAAGGAGCAAAGAAGAGATAAAGGGAAGAGGGTTAATGGGAGGAGGGGAAAAAAAAAAGGGGTGGAGGGGAACAGTGGTTCAATTTAAAGGAGGGTTGGCAAAGCCTTCTCTGTCACAACTTAGCCTGCAGTTTCTTGTTTGACCCTGTACTAATGGGACTGGGCAGGAAGGGGTTAACATGTGGGGCGATCAAAGGGTTAACTGTGTGCTGTTTTTACATAGGGGGCTGTGTGTGTGCTTCACTGCAAGCACACTGCTTTGTATGGCTCTGCTATGCACAGCCATGCAAAACAGTGTGCAGGAGCTGACAGGGAGGAGAACTGTTTTATTTACTAACAGTTCTCCCCCCCCCCCCCATCGGAGATCCTCAACAATCACCGGGCGCCGGCGAATAATCACTGGCCAGGACCTGGTGATTGACAGTCACAGCCGCGAATGGCACCTTGCACATGTCCCCTATCAGGAAATGCAGAATCACACATATTTATATATATATATATACAGTCATGGCCGAAATTGTTGGCACCCTTGATATTTCTCCAGGAAATCATGTATTCTCACGAAACGTATTGCATTAACACATGTTTTGCTATACACATGTTTATTCCCTTTGTGTGTATTTGGGACAAAACAAAAAAAGGGAGGAAAGAAAGCAAATTCGACATAATGTCACACAAACCTCCAAAAATGGGCTGGACAAAAGTATTGGCACCCTTTCACAACTGCGGATAAATAAGAATGTTACAAGCATGTGATGCTCCTGTAAACTCACCTGGGGCAAGTAACAGGTGTGGGCAATATAGAAATCACACCTGGGCAGATAAAAAGGAGAGACGTTCACTTAACCTTTGCATTGTGTGTCTGTCTGTGCCACACTAAGCATGGACAACAGAAAGAGGAGACGAGAACTGTCTGAGGACCTGAGAACCAAAATTGTGGCAAAATATCAACAATCTCAAGGTTACAAGTCCATCTCCAGAGAACTAGATTTGCCTTTGTCCACAGTGCGCAACATTATCAAGAAGTTTGCAACCCATGGCACTGTAGCTATCCCTGGTCGTGGACGGATGAGGAAAATTGATGAAAGATTGCAACGCAGAATAGTCCGGATGGTGGATAAGCAGCCCCAAACATGTTCCAAAGACATTCAAGCTGTCCTGCAGGCTCAGGGAGCATCAGTGGCGCGAACTATCCGTCGACATTTAAATGAAATGAAACGCTATGGCAGGAGACCCAGGAGGACCCCACTGCTGACACAGAGACATAAAAAAGCAAGACTACAGTTTGCCAAAATGTACTTGAGTAAGCCAAAAGCCTTCTGGGAAAACGTCTTGTGGACAGATGAGACCAAACAAAGCACATCATTCTACTGTTTACCGAAAACGGAATGAGGCCTACAAAGAACAAAACACAGTACCTACGGTAAAATATGGTGGAGGTTCAATGATGTTTTGGGGTTGTTTTGCTGCCTCTGGCACTGGGTGCCTTGACTGTGTGCAAGGCATCATGAAATCTGAGGATTACCAAATGGGTCGCACTGTAGGGCCCAGTGTCAGAAAGCTGGGTTTGCGTCCAAGATCCTGGGTCTTCCAGCAGGACAATGACCCCAAACAATCAAAAAGCACTCAGAAATGGATGGCAAAGAAGCGCTGGAGAGTTCTGAAGTGGCCAGCAATGAGCCCAGATCTAAATCCCATTGAACACCTGTGGAGAGATCTTAAAATTTTTGGGAAAAGGTGTCCTTCCAATAAGAGAGACCTGGAGCTGTTTGCAAAGGAAGAGTGGTCCAAAATTCCGGGTGAGAGGTGTCAGAAGCTTATTGATGGTTATAGGAAGCGACTGATTTCAGTTAAAAGGGTGTGCAACCAAATATTTTTAGGGTGCCAATACTTTTGTCCAGCCCATTTTTGGGGTTTTGTGTGACATTATGTCCCCTATTTGCTTTTCTGCCTTTTTTATATTTTAGGGAATAAACATATGCAATACCTTTTTTTTGTGAAATACTTGATTTTCAGGATATCAAGGGTGCCAACAATTTCGGCCATACTGTATATATATATATATATATATATATATACATTATGTGTGTGTGCGATTTTTTCACATCTGCCTCCCTGTAGGAGTATTTCTGCTATGGGGCGGAGCTAAAGCCGTTAATAAAAAAATGTAATACGGACAATGGATCTCCAGAATGCCATAGTTAATTTAAAGAGAACACAGCAAAAGAAGCTATTGAATTCTATAAAGGACAAACTTTGTACCACAGGACATAAGGAGAAACTAAAAAAAAGAAATGACAAGGAAACAAAAGCTCACTCTGCTGGTTGATATTTAAAATGCTTAAAATTAAAGTTAAAAAACCCAAACAAAAAAAAAAACCAAAAAAAAAAAAGGAAAAGTATATATTCAAAACTATTTTTTTTTTAGTCTTTACAATAATAAAGAAAGAAAAATGCATGCAAAAGCATAATATTTGTTTTTTTAATAGACTCTATTTATAATTTTATAATTTTAGATATTCTTGTGAATATTGCTAGCTTTTTTTTTAGTCTTTTTTTTATTACTATTTTTTTTATTACTATTTTTTTTAGTCTTTACAATAATAATTTTAGATATTCTTGTGAATATTGCTAGCTTTTTTTTTGTCTTTTTTTTATTACTATTTTTTTTAGTCTTTACAATAATAAAGAAAGAAAAATGCATGCAAAAGCATAATACTTGTTTTTTTTAATAGACTCTATTTATAATTTTATAATTTTAGATATTCTTGTGAATATTGCTAGCTTTTTTTAGTCTTTTTTTATTACTTTTTTTTTTAGTCTTTACAATAATAATTTTATAACTTTAGATTTTCTTGTGAATATTCTTGTGAATATTGCTATTTTTTTTTGTCTTTTTTTTATTACTATTTTTTTTTAGTCTTTACAATTTTAAAGAAAGAAAAATGCATGCAAAAGCATAATACTTGTTTTTTTATTAGGACTCTTTTTATAATTTTAAATATTCTTGTGAACATTGCTAGCTTTTTTTTAGTCTTTTTTTTATTACTATTTTTTTATTACTATTTTTTTAGTCTTTACAATAATAATTTTAGATATTCTTGTGAATATTGCCAGCTTTTTTTTAGTCTTTTTTTTATTACTATTTTTTTTTAGTCTTTACAATAACAAAGAAAGAAAAATGCATGCAAAAGCCTAATACTTGTTTTTTTAATAGACTCTATTTATAATTTTATAATTTTAGATATTCTTGTGAATATTGCTAGCTTCATGTAGGTAATATTATTAAGAGCTAATGTTTAGACAATCTTATTTCTATTTATAGATTTTAATTTGATTTAAACGTTAGGGCAACCTCCATTTTTGCTCTTGAGCATGCTG